GGGGGGGGGGGGGGGGGGGGGCATGTGCCATCCCAGATGTTTTGCAGCTCTACCAATTTTGAGGTAGATTATGGCAAAATGGCCGTTCTTTTCCAGGGTGGTTAGAATGGAAATACCATTGTGGTTGAGCCTATTTTAGCTCTTATTTCTGACCAGATAGCACATTGCCAAGAGAGAAACATTCCAGCTGCAGCACTATATGGTGGATTGCAAGAAGCTTATAAACAGAGCATGTATTACACAATTTAAAGCTACCTAATAATCCTTTTAAGTTGTTGTACACCACTCCAGACTTTCTGGTCGCTGACCCAGCATAACAAAATGTGTTAGAAAAATTGTCATCACAAGGAAGTATACAGGGATTTGTGATTGATTGAATGTCACTGTGTAAGCTTATGGGGAAAGGAATTCAGGCCAGCTTAAGCAATTTACCTCTGTCCCATTGTTATGTTGACTGCAACAGCTACCAACCAAATACAACAAGATGTATGCTCTGTGCTATCAGTTACTGAGCCAACTGTTATAAGGGACAACTATACCAAACCTTGCTTACCATATTGTCAGAAAAAATGGCAATTTAAGTGACAGAATTGTATCCGAAGTTAAAGACTGCGAGTGTTCCATTGTGTATGGGTTAACACGTTCTGAGTGTGAAGCTATGTGAGCCAAACTTGGTGCACATGGTATTGTTGCGAAGGCATATCATGGTGACATGTCTAAGATGGAAGTCTGGTGATATTACATGTCTGGTTTGCACCAAAGCATTTGGAATGGGGGTGGACAAGCCTAATGTAAGGATCGTCATACATACTTCAATGCCAAGATGTAAAGCTGTATGGAAGACTATTATCAGGAGACAGGATGCAGTAGAGGTGGATTTCCCTGTAAGTGTATACTTCACTTCAGTCCAACCGATACCAATCGACATATGCAGTCGGTATATAAGCAACATTACTACACAATAGATACAGCCATTTCCAAATTTTTTTTTACTTTTGTCTCCAAATTGGTGAATATAGGAGAAAAATTATTCTGGAGTATTTTGATAGTGGCTCTGCAGTATGCAGTGATCACTTGAAATGTGATCAATGTGAGAGTAAATTGGAAACATGCATAGAAGATATTTCAGAGTTAACATGTAAAATAATTGTATGTTTATTAAGCATGAAGGCACTAAACTGCAGGAAGTTTACATTAAAGCAGCTAGCTAATGTGATTACAGGCAAGTGTAACAAAGATGTGAATAAATACAATTATGAAACTGCAGAACATTTTGGCTGCTACAAAGCTAGTGTTACAGACAGTGAGTATGTTTTGAACATCCTGGTTTACAAGGACATGCATTTTAAGGCTGGTACCACCAGACTCAAATGCAAGAAACCAAAATACATTATACATTGATCTTGGACCCCAGTTTATTTATGTTCAAAAGAAACAACTATCAGTTGCATTTGATAAAGTTAAGAAATAAATGTTCTGGACTGGAATGTTATGTCAAACAGTTACTTTGTTCCTTAATAAGTTAGTATAAATATTTTTTACTTTGAATTATCATTCATGTGGGAATAGTCTGCTTAGTATTTCTGCAATGTTTTTTCAATGAATAACTTTCCTCGTGACTCTACATCTGTACAATCGCAGGGAACTTTCTTATCACCATTTGTATGTATATCTTTCTTGGTGTGATCCAGAACTGGAATAGCATCTCAATCTTGTGACACAAACCATCCTTGCTTAATTGCAAACCATGCAACTTTTAAGCGATCAGGTAATGCATCTGGTACAACACTTTTTACTCGACTATGTACACCATACCCTTCTTTGAATACTTCTTTGATGTGAACTAGAAGTTCCACATTCATGTTTACCTTCTTCATCATTGACAATAAAAGTACTGTGATGCTTTGCAAATGTCTTTAGTGGGGAAACCATCACAGTCTCAACAAACTTTCAATTTCACGAATAGCACTTGGCCACAATGCTGTGAAGTTTGTGATGTAAGCTATAGCTTCGTCTTTGTAGTTTTTCTTATTTAATGTACAAAACAGAAGAAGGCTTGACAACCAACAGGATTTCCTTGTTTTTGCATTCCCATATAGAACAGATTTACTATGATATTCCACGACTATGTCAGTTCTACTTCTTCTTGTAGGTATGCTTTCAACCTGTTCAATAGTACGTCATTAATATTTCCATTGTTCGCTTGGGCATTTGATATTGTTTCAGTGTCTGGAAAAAATCCAGATAATCTAAAAGAAGCAACTGATGCAATACAAAGTCCCCAAAAGTAGTCATTTAAAGCATCCATATTTCTTTCATAGTTACCTTCTTTAAATGTGTCAATAAATGACTTTGGTGTCACTTTAAGCTGTCCTAATAATTGTGTTAAAGTGTAAAAAAAGCCCCAGGCCCAGATATATACGAGATAGACATTCCATAACGTAACCTTGGGTGTGAAAATCTCCCGGAACTTCTTTGAAACATCCAAATTCATTGGGTGCTCTATTTCACAACCAATGTAAAGTCGATGTAGACTTTGCATCCTGACCAATAAATTAAAATTTAAGCGGATGTCTTCTCCTTGTACTTCTGGTTTCTCTGCTTAGTCTGACCCTACATCACTGGAATTCAAGTGCAGTGGTGGTTCTTTAGACAAACCAATGTCTTCACAAACTCTGTGCCTTGCCTGTTTTTCATATGTTGTCCTGTCTTCAAGAATTTGCATGATAGCTTCATTGCCAATGTTGCATGCCATTTGAATTGGATTCGGTATGTTTCCTTGAAAGCTACCATTGATTCGTGCTCCATATTTGATTAAAATTGTCACTAATTCTGGTTTGTTATTGTTTATTGCAATCATGATGGGGGTAACTCTAAACCTTTCGGACATATTGACACAAGCACGAGCCAAAGGCAGACTTTCCACTAAAGGAATACAACCATCTTGAACAGCATGATGTAATGGAGAACATCCAAAATCATCTGTCAGGTCAATCCACATTCCGCTTATGGACTGTAAAAACAATACTCGGTCTTTCACGATTGTGAAATTAGATGTGCCTTGCTTCAGTTTCTTCATGACCTCCTTTGTGTGATTTGATAATTATTTCATGCGTGTTTTAAATGATGCTGCACATGTAGGTAAAAGTTGCCTGGTTGTTTTGCTGCAGATAAAAGTTATGGATGAATGTACAAAGTTGTTAAAATCCACCATTTCATCTTCGAAAAAAATCGCTCTTGTACTTTAGCAGTCTTCATGTTGTAATTCAACCCCCAGTGAAACCAAATTCTTACTATAAATATGTCACAAACTGTTTATGTTTTCAACCAATTGAATCACATAATTTTTTTGAAAATATGACAAATGAAACAGACAATGAAATGTTTGTGCAAATGTTTCAGCTTTCTTGCAGTCTTGAAAACAAAATTTATGTGTGAGTATATAAAAAAAAACTATCAGAGTTTTATTTATGTGTGCGAAGTATTTTGCATTTTGCCGAAGTCGTATATTTGTCAGTTGAGATATAGTTGCCAACTTTAGGTATATTCTATATATATGAACAATGCTTTGAGTGCTTGTGGCACATGACAAATGACAGAGGAAGCATTTGGTTCATTTGACACACCGTTTTGGCCTGCCTATGGTTTTATCGTCATTTCGGATGAGTGTTTTTACAAACCACTGTGCTGGGCATGAACTGATGACTTGGCTCATCTTGCATGATGTGCATTCGCCAAGAATACCATTCCCATGTTGGTTAACAGTCTTGCCACAGGATCTGCATGAAGGTTGCTTCAAAGCTTGCTGGATACCCAATATTCGGGCAGTCCATGTCATTGATGTCATCACACAAAAATCCTCAGCAACATCAACCAAAGGATGTGTGAATGGCTCTGTCTCTGTGTAGGTGAACTTTTCTGTTTTGGCAGTGTTAGATATCTGTCAGTCTTGGTAACTTTGATATGGAGATTCTTTAAAAGGTAGGTTTTGTTTAGTTCCACCAGAGACTCAACATAATCTTTCCATATTACTACTTTTGTCGACAAAGTTGTGTCTCTCACAATGGCTTCTTGTTTGTTTTTTTCAATTTTCCATGGTGCAGTGTGTTGAGATACTTGATAGCTCAGCAACTTCACCTTTGAGTGAAACAATTTGTTCCCCTGCTACTTTTTGAAAGGAGGATATATTGGGAATGAGCCCATCTTCATTGCAGATTTCAGTATGTGGGAAGTCAATTGGCAATGGTGTGATCTTTGTATACTTGTTAAATGAAGATATCTTGGTGTGGTTTCTGATAGTTTTTTTTCTTCACAGGAGATTTCACTTTTTCCAGTGTTTTTAATTCAGTTTGCTTTTCTGGTGAGAAGCAGACGGCTCTCACAGATTCATCTTTAGTTTGGAGAATATGGTCAAAAAACTGCCTTTGACTTGTTGCAGCTTTTTTACTTGTGACACTGCATGAATGTAACATGCAGTCTCAGAAGTAGCTTTAGAAGTAGTAGTTTCAGAAGTAACTTCAGAAGAAGTAGAACCTGTTGATTGGATAAGATTAGTATTTTAGCATCTTTTTAGCAACAACTATGACCTTCAATAGTTAATTACATAACCTCTAAGGCCATAGTCATAGAAACTATTGTTATTGTCCGACTTTTATTAATTTTATTAATGTTAGTTAGCCCCCAAAACGTGGGGCTATACCCCCCCCCCCCCGAACTAAGGAATGCCAAAAAATATAGAACTAAGGAATGCCAAAAAAGATTACTATTCCTCAAAAATAGCTGGTCAAAAATTCAATCCTAAAAAAGATTGGAAAAGTATAAACAACTTATTAGGTAGGCAAAACAACCGTGGTGAATGAGATTAATCTAGGGGGAAAAATTTTTACAACTCCCAAAGATATTGCAGAGGGCTTTAATGATTACTTTTCAAATATTGGACCTGATTTAGCTAGCAAAATTGATACTTCAAATTATAATTTTGAAACCTATACTAAAACTGCTGAATCAGAATTTGCAGCATTCCAGCCTGTTACTGTCAGTCATGTCTGTCGTCTCTTGCATGGGCTTTCCAGCAATAAAGCCACTGGCATTGATAAAATTTCTTGTAAAATTATTAAGATAGCTGCACCAGCTATTTCAGACTCATTGACGTTTATTTTCAATCAGGCTATAACTCTATCCTCCTTTCCTAATGAATGGAAAATGGCAAGAGTAATACCTTTGTATAAAAATGGCCAACAGAATATTCCAGGAAACTATAGACCAATATCAGTTTTACCTGCGATTAGCAAAATTATGGAGCTATTATTAACAAAATTTGAACTCCTTAGCGATTCTCAATTCAGTTTTCGAAAATCTCATTCTACAGCAACTGCATTACTAGACTGTACCAATGATTGGTATATGAATCTAGACAGAAAAATGTTTAACCTAGTAGTTTTAATTGATCTAAAAAAAGCATTTGATACTGTTGATCATCAAATTCTATTGAGGAAGTTAGAACTTTATGGAATAAAAGGAGAAGCTCTAACTTTGCTCAAATCTTATCTCACAAACAGAAACCAGAAGTGCCAAATTAAGAATTCCTTTTCTACAGAGTGATTGATTAAACGTGGTGTACCACAAGGCTCTATCTTAGGACCACTATTCTTTTTGTTATATATAAATTATTTACCTCTGTGTCTAAACAAAACAAAACCTCGATTGTTTGCTGACGACACAAATCTGACAGCTTCGGGAGATTCTATAATTGACCTTGAAACTGCAGTAAATTCTGATTTGGAAAACCTCAGAAAATGGCTAATTGCCAATAAACTTAGTCTAAATGTAGCTAAGACAGAATTTATGTTAATTGGTTCAAAGGCAATGATTAAAAAAAATTCTGATTCACGTTTAAATGTTTTCATTGAAAATAAGCAAATTAAACAAGTTAGAGAATGCAAAACTCTTGGAGTAATAGTTGACCAGCATTTGTCTTGGAAAAGTAATTCCGAAAATATTTGCAAAAAAATAACTGCAGGAATCTCTGCTATTCGTCGAGTCAAACCTTTCGTTGACAAAGATACACTCATTTCGATATATAATGCTATTGTTCGCCCATACTTTGATTACTGTTGTGAAGTATGGGATGTGTTTGGTGAATCACAATCAAAACGACTCCAAAAACTTCAAAATAGAGCTGCTAGAATTATCTTGAACATGAGTAATGACGTAAATCATTCCATTGCTCTACGTGCATTGGGCTGGGAGCCACTCAAAACTGAAAGGAAGAAAGCTAAGGCAAAAATGATGTACAAAGTATTAAATAAAATGGGTCCTAAATCACTCACCAATCTTTTTTCATACAAATGTGAGAAAACAAACTACAACCTTCGTGACATTTCAAGCGGTCTTAGTTTGCCAAAACCGCATACTAACAACATGAAAAATAGTTTCATGTATAGCCTGCGAACAGACTCTCAAGCTGAATTGAGAGCCTGCATCGATGACTAATGAATCTGAATATCTGCCCCGTAACGTTCGTTTTTCCAAATATGGAATGTATATCCTTATATGGTGTTGTTAACTTTCGTGCAAACTAAATTTAGACCGTGCAAACTAAATTTAGACCGTACAGTTTTTCTGTTTTTCGAAATATAAGATATCGAAGCAAAAGTTCAAATGTTTTAGATACTGTTTTCTCAAAACAGAACATTTCGTGCTTTGAGATAAGATGGTCAAGACCAATTTGATCAGTTAATGTGTTTTTTATGAATAGTGCTTCAGCAGTTGACATATAAAGAGCTCAGCGGAAGCATATAAATTATAGCATCTGACCAATGAGAATTTCGCGTCACGATTTGAGACGCAGATATTCAAATTCATTAGTCATCGATGCAGGCTCTCAATTCAGCTTGAGAGCCTGTTCGCAGGCTATTTCATGTATGACGGAGCACACCTTTGGAATTCTATTCCAAAGGAAATTAGGGAAAGCAAAACTCTTTCATCCTTTAGAAATAAAATCGCTGCTCACAAAATTGACATAGAGTAAATTGATGTAACTGTAAATATTCTAATAACCTTCTTATCATGTAAATAATTTAATATTCTACCTTTTTAAACTTAAGTATTTTAATATCTCCATGTAACATTTTTCTATTTTTGCACACGCCCCCCGTGGAAATCAGCTTCGGTTGATGGGGTCAGCGTGTATAAATAAAGTTTCTATCTATCTATCTACCCCCCGGTCACAGAATAGATTCAGTTCTTGGTTTTCTTATGTTTTGGTATAACCATAAGTTGTCATCAAAATACCGATGCCATGGGCCTAGCCAGTGTGTGTTTGAGATATGCATTCACTCCTCTGAAAGTAATCAAAATGGTGAACATCCAGGCGGGTAATGCCTCTCATAAATGCACTGGCTAGGCCCATTTTGATGACAAATCATTTTGATGACAAATCATTTTGATGACGAATCATGGCTGCCGCTGTGCCTGAGCTGGTATGTGTAAAAAACTGCAAATTTCAGTTTGACAGTCTGGCAGTTAAATGGGTTTCTACTTTTATTGTCCAATCAGGTGAGTAGTTTGAAGTAAATCCAGAAATTCATTACTCAACTGTCAATTTATGCAAACATAAACAAGGTCACAGACATCCAAATGAAGGTCTTTGCAACAAAATATATTAAATATCCCTGTTTAGTTGCAAACGTTTTAAGCAAATTTGGAATATTAACCCAGATTTGTTCATTTTATAACCCCTTTTACTGAAAATATAATTACAATCTTGTAATGTACTGGCATACACTTTGGCGAATGTGGATGTCAAGTACACAAATACGGAAAACCAATCATGTGACCAGCGCTTTATGCCTGGGTGGGGGTTGCTCAAAAAAAACCCCAGTTGTTTTGCAGTTTACTGACATCACTTGCACACAACCGAATAGCAACAATAGTTTTTGTTCTAAAGTTGTTAAAAAAAAAAAGGAATATAGGGAAGTGGTGAAAGTATTCTCGACTTCGTTTTTATGTTGTTTATTTTGGACACTATTTTCTCCAATGTAAAACACACCTGAAACTTTAGTGCAACAATAGTGCAAT